TCCCTTGTCGTTATTTATATACCTAATAATACTGCTTCTCGGTGAATTATTACATTCTATACGATCTGCGCATGGATGGAAAGTATATAGATATGGGTGATTCTGCCGTAAGTGGCTCAAAATGCCTCAAAGAATCGTTAAAAAAAAGTTGGTTGAACAAATTATTTTTGTAGTAGTTCTAACTCAAGTACCAGTCACAAAAAATATCTGAACCGATTCTACTACAAAGTTTTTAGTTCAAAAGATATACGGTATTTTGTATAAGTCAGTTGTAGTCAATTTTCGAAAAAAATATCTCTGCTTCTAATGCATGTAGCTAAGCTGCTTGTATAGTTGAAGCATTCTAATCCAAATGAAATAAAAGTTAGGATTAAACCCTATCGATTGAAAAAGTATTTTGTTCCATCTAGTGTCTCTCCGTTCAAAAGTTATAGCTGTTAAAAGAGGAGCGATAAAAATGGCTGAAAATGAGATTTCGTAGATTTTTCCCGCAAGTTTATAATTAAAAAAAAATCCCCATAACTTTTGATCGGTGGCACCAAATTCAACAAATTTTTTTTCAATTCATAAAACTTCGTTTAAACAGTTGTTTGAGCCTATTTTGAACCACTTAAAAAAGTGTACTCCTTTGCTACTAGTGCTGGAAGTGGAATCGATATTCATCGACGTATCTCGCGAAAAAAAGGCCAATTAGACGAAATGCCGAGACACATATATCATGTTTTAGCCCAACAATACTGGAAAAAAAGTTTTGTAAAGTTACGATGCACGAAAGCTAAAAAAAGAGACACATTTTTACCATTGAGGGGTACGGAATTGACATTCGGAGCTTTGAAGTACTATTGCTGCTCTTATATTTAATATAAACCATATTTTCCGCTTACAAAACGTCCGTCGTCAATAAACAGTATCAAGAAAATAGCTTTAGTCGGATAAGTGCCATCCCTTACAGGGCCATTTTGCGACGTAAGATAGCCGCGGAGCGATGGCACTTATGCGGCAAATCCTATTTTTCCTACCGAGGGCACACCCGACTCTCAAAAATGCCCGAGGTAGGAAAAGAATTTTTAATTATATGTGTGAGTAACAGAGTGCTGGCGGTCGACGGAAGCGATCAAAATTTTTGTACACTCGAAAATTGAAAATTAAAATATGTATCGATCAAAGAAGTTGAAATTTTTGACAGCTTTGGCCTGTGCGTTTGTCTTCTTACGATGTGAGATTAAAAAATTGACTATGAAAAGGTGTTACGAAACGTGGCAACAGTGTGGTTCTCAAAGCGGTTTCCACTATAACCGACACGTTTGTTCGAATCGTGGGACACTTGATACATTTAATGAAAACTCTCGATGAAATTAATGTGCGAAGATATGTAAGAAAAGCTTTTTTTTCCAAGTAGGAGCTTTTAGGTGCGAAATTGAGATTGGGATAAGGTACGGAAATGAACTTTTTATTATATTTTCTTAATTATCTCATCGAGAAGTCAATGCATCAGCTTGAAAGTTTTCTCCAAGTAGGTTTAACACTTTCAACACAACTTCACGCAATTTGAACATCAAATTTAAGTTTGTTGTAGTGGCATGAGCTCTGGACACGAAATTGGCCTTTTACGGCAGAATCACCCACATGGTTACGAGCCCAACACTTTGTTACAGTTTTGATGATGTACCTATTTTCGAGTCATGATATTTGCGTTCAATCGATCCCGCTCGCCCTGCACGCTGTGGCTGACACCGTAGAAGAAGTAAATGCAAAATCCTGTGAAAAAAAAAGTATGCATATATTAATCCCACCACAAAATTTGTTTGTAACAATACAAATTGAATACGAGTTCTCATAGAAGTGAATACACATTATATAGTAAATAACGAACAAAAACTCGCCTATTATCATCCACGCGGAAAATCTTATCCACGTGTAAACGTCCAGTTGCAGCATCAGATATAGGTTTATCATGATACTGAGGCAGGGTATCAACGGCACCAACGGGACCTACAAAATTTTTACGCACGCATTATATTATACTTCCCACTTTTATAAAAATACAAAACTTACATGTATACATACCTTGAAAGACAAATCGATTTGTTGTATGGGCTGCCTGCTAATGGCGGTGGCTATGAGGAGTGCCAGTAGAACTACCATCGCAAACACGATTGTCGGCAAAACGTCAACGAAAATCGTGGAACTGTTCAGTAGTAGACCGACGATGAAGACGGCAATGCCTGTAAATGACGTTGTTGGTTGTGGATTGGAAATGCGCCGCGGGGAGAGGAACAAACCGCACAAGATATACTTACTGAAAAACAAAACGCCGTATTTTGCCGTGCGGGTTGTGAATTCGTTCGGTTGCTTTTGGCTGTGGATATTGAAAATTTGCTTGAAAAAGCTCATTGGGCTCGCGTACTGGTCCGCCGTTGGTTTGTCCATATCGATGGACATTTTTGCCGGCAGCTCTTCCATTTGGTACCTTTGACAGGCGAGAAGATGAGGAATTTCCTTCTCGTCAACTCTCGCAGAGTTGTACAAAAATAATGGACATGTAAGCGCGCTAGGATTTAATTTTATAATTCCAGTCCATTTTTATGTCGAATAAGCAAGTTCATGATCCTTGAGTTTTTTTTTTTTTTTTTTTTTTTTTTTTTTTTTTTTTTTTTTTTTTTTTT